GTGTAGTTGAGGAAGCGGTGAGAGAGTGTCTAGGTGTGTGAGGGAGAGGTGCTGGGGCGAAGGGAGAAACGGGGGTTGCGGTGGAGGTGGTGGAGAGGATGCAGAGGAGCATGGAGATGTAGAGGACGGTCTTTGGTGAGGGCATGGGCGAGCCTGCTACTCTGCGGATTTGGCGGTGGGGAGGGGTGCCTGAGGGTGGCGTGTTGAGTGTGGTTACGGAGTTTCCGTTCGGACGTGGTGAGCGTGCGAAGTTAGGTATCCTGAAAGCGTCCATGGGGTTGGAGTGGTGTGGTATATAGCGTCCTGCGCTGCTGTTCGAACTCCCTGGTGCAACGTTCTTTGGCCCTTCGGTGGCACCTCCAAGGCGCTCATTCACCTCCTGCATGCCTCCTGCTCCCGGGCCGTTCTCCGAGGGCACGCGTGACGCCCATATCGACCGCAGAGGCCTCCCATGCTTCAACACCTCGTACCATATCCATTGTCCCACCAAAGCGCAGTCGACGGTGACATAGTACGCGGCAATGATGACCTGCCACAGCGCCTGGCCTGTGAGAACGCATCCCAGCAGGTTCGACACATCGCCTAGCAGCCATTCTGCGAGGAAGAAGAAGCTGAGCCCCGAGGTAGACTTCAACTGGTGGTTCTTGTATATCTGCGGTAGCTGTGCGAACAACCATGCAACGATGCTGCAGGTACCGAGTGCGGTCGACAGGAAAGCGAGGTTCGTAGGAACGCAGGTGTGAAACGTCGAGGACAGGTGGTATAGGAATGCATTCGTGGGTTCGCAGTGCGGTGGTAGTGAGGGCTGGACTAATTCGAAGAGTGCATGGTAGGGCATGGCGTCATAGACGCAGAAATGGCGTGTAGCGTCGCGGTTGGGTCAGCGCCGTGGTATAAAGAGCGCTGCCTGTGACCTGTTTATGTGAAAGAGGCGTCCTCCGCCCTCCGCTGGAGTATATGCGCGGAGGGTCTGCCTGCTGGTACCTCGGAGTGGGACTCAGAGGTCACGCGTAGCGGCCAGGTGGTGAGTAACAGGACCCAGCCACAAAGGCGCAGCTTCGAAGCTTCGGCTGACGGGAACGTGTCGACAAAGCTCTCCAGCTCTTTCTCGGTCAAGCTCCAACCCTCAGACACGTGTGCTCTTTAAGGGGGGCTCTTCGGAGGCGGTCGAGGTGCGGGTCGGGGTTGGAGTGCGGGGGTCCTTATGTGAGCACTCAGCGACGCGGCAGAGGCGGAAACCGACGCAAGAGATGAGGCCAGGAATAGGAACGAAGAATCAAACGAGTACACTTCTACTCTAAGGTACAAAGAGACACAACAAGTAATACTGTAGAAGAGGATGTCGAGCGTCATCACCCACGGCGAGTGGGCAGGTGGATGGCGGAGTGGCATGCGGAGCAACGGCGCATGGCAGATGACCCACGCCGATGGAAGCTTGAGGCATGCCGCGCCTCGGTCCGTCCGCTATCTAGATGCATCATAGCGGGACGTCTGTGTTGGCTGAGCGGAGAGAAAGATAACGGGAGCTTATCTGCAAGGTGTGGTGGACATGAAAGGGAGGTCGAGAACCGCCGTTACCGGTAAGCGGGCACAGCCGGCCAGTAGCGGGGTCTGTTCGTGCGACTTCGTTACGCAGAAGACCAAGCCATATACACATCCAAACACTATAAAACTCATTCTACGTTTCTTGAACACATGAGGCATCATGTTGCAAAGGCTCGAATTATGTAGGCGCTGACCCCTCCTCCCGTTCAGCCATCGTCACACGGAACCCCAGATGGAGCTAAGGGGTTGCCTAAGCCAACAACAGATGGGACGAACCTTCGAGCGGATTTAGACGTCATAGACTCTCACCACCCTCGGAGGTAACAGCCTGTACGTGGGTCTGGTGCCGAATACTGTAAAGATCCGAATGCAATAGAGTGCAGCTGTTGATGCCATCAATATACAATTGTATACATCCTCTACCTTCGTGCTCTACAAAAGCTCTGCAGCCAACATGCCAAAACTACACGAGATCTATCGCTCGCAAACACAACCCTAAGAAACGCCATGCTCGACTATGACCACATTAGAGTTCGAGACTGCAGATAGAACAAAGGAAAAATATTACAAGACACAGGGGGTACTCGTGACAGTAGACGCCATACGGGGAAGGACTTTTCGCAAACAACGCTCAAGTGCACATGACTACACTCTCGACACGTCGCGCCCAAACACCTTCGCCTTGAGCCAGTCCATGAACACCAACACGCGGTTGCGGGTGCTGAAGCACATGCTCAGGTAGGCACTGCGCCAGAAGAAGTAGGTGATGGTGCCACCCGACGCAAGGTTGCCGGCGAACCACGAGATGTCTGCGACGGCCTTGTCGGAGCCGATGTAGGCGAGGGAGCCCTGGTGAGAGTACTCGAAGGGGTTGATACTCTGGACGCGGCGGAGCCTCTTCTGCAGGTCCTTGATATTGGCGAAGATCTCGTCGCGGGCCTCCTTGGTCGGTGCAACCTCCTGGGCTTGTGAGAGCTCGGCGAGTTGGCTCTGGATCTCCTGCGTCTTGGCCATGTTATTGAACATGCGGGCGAGGAACGCGCCTTCCTGGGCTGCGACCTGGGCCGTGGGAGCGTAGTTGGCGACGGCGCAGTCACCGACAGCCCACACGTTCTCGGTGCCCTTGACGACGAGGTATTCATTCACTGCAAGGCCGCGACGGGAGTTCTTCTGTGCAGGGATCTGGCTGATGAGGTCGTTCACGACCGGGCGCACAGCGTTACCCGTGGCCCACACGAGAAGGCCGTAGGGAATGCGCTCAAGCTGCTTCTGTCCGTCGGGGCCGACCGACTCAGCCTCGATGTACTTGTCCGTAACGTTCTTGACCATGGTCTTGGTCCGGATGGTGATGGTCTCCTCCTGGAACGTCTTCTCCGTATAGTCGATCAGCTGCTTGGAAAACATGGGCAGAACGTTCGGGAGCGCCTCGACCAGAGTAACGTGGAAGTTCTCCTTGATGTCGGGGATCCACTTCTTCAGATCCGAGTTGAAGAAGTCCTGGAGTTCGCCAGCGAACTCTACGCCAGTCGGTCCGCCGCCAACGACCACCATGTGCAGCAGCCGCTTGACTTCCTCGGGGTCCTGGTCCTTGAAGGTGGCGGTCTCGCAGCAGTCCATGATGCGGTTGCGAATGCGCTGGGCGTCGCCGACCTCCTTGAGGAACAGGCCGTGTTCGCGGACGCCGGGGATGCCTGGAACATTAGCATAGCACTTGGACATGTCGCGATTCCAACTCACCGAAAGTGGCATTCTCAGCGCCTACACCTACGACCAGCATGTCAAAGGGCACCTCAGTCGAGGAAACGTCGCCCTTGATCTCCGAGTCGTCGTTGATGACAACCACCTTCCTCTCGTAGTCAATCTTCGTCGCCTCAGCCTCATAGTATTTGACGGCCGCCTTCTTGTGTCGTAGGAAGTTGCGGATTGGCTCCATGATGGAGCGATGCTCGATGGTGCCGGTGGTGCATGAGGGCAGCAGGGGCGTGAAGAGGAAATAGTTGCGCGGCGAGACTACAACCACATTGTAGTTCTCAGTGTCGAGCTTCTTGAGCAGCGAGACAGACCCCCATCCAGTTCCTAAAAATAAGAGTCAGTTCTTCGCCCGAACAGCAAATCCAGGAAACAAGTTGTACCGAGGATGACGAGCGTCTTCTTGCTCGGGTCAGGATTGGGCTGATCGTGAGGGTTTCGCATCTCCCAGATATTGTATCCCACGTAGGCAATCCCACCGATGGCGGAAAGGTACATGGCGCGCCATGTCCAGCGCAGCATGCGGAAGCGCTTCTTCGGCTTCGGAGGCGGCGTCGCCCCAGTCGACTGCTGTCTGACAGACTGGCGCAGTGCGATCTGATGAGAGACGGGCCGCGATGCCCATCGTGCCCTGCTGGCGAGCAGAGACGTCTGCGATGTTTGATAGGAGCGGCGAGCAGCGAGAGGGAGCTGCTGTGACACGAGACGGGCCGAGGCAGCGAGTGGCCGCATGGAGGGAGCCATTGCGAAAGAGATAGCAATAACAGAGGACGCAATGGGGTTGTGGGACGACGGCGACAACTCCAGAGAACCGAGGGAGAGTTGTTGGTGGTGAGTTGACTTTTTCTGCTGCGATGACGAAGTGCGGACTCAGGCCGATAAGCAGGAGCCAGGGACAAGGGCAAGGGCGAGAAGGCCCGTGCGCATGCGCGTCTTTTGTTGGTTACACAAAATCCCACGCCGATTCCACGCCAATTAATCAGCCACAGCATTCCGATTTCTACCGCCGCCGCCTATCCTTTCTCCTTCGTTCGTTTCTGCCGTACAGAACTCAGCTGAAAATAGTTGTTTGCCTCAGTTCACTCTCTCTGGGGGAATATTCGAGTGGCCAAGGGCTGAAAAGTCTTCAACACCCGCGTTCCTGAAGCCTCGACGCCGTCGACAGCGAGCCAGGGTCCAGAATCCATGTGGATCCGATTGCGGGCACCAAAGCTAGCCGTAGGCCACCGGCTCAGCTTAAAACCCACGCTGGAAAGGGAAACGCCGATAATTCCACCGGAAGTCGGCGGTTGTGTGGGAGGCCAGAAGAGCAGTCTGCGACTATTATGTACCCCTCTCGTTAAGCTGGCTTCGATGTTGATGCTTGACTGAGAAAACACAGACATTCCGAGACATGATTTCCTATTTCCTGTTATCGCCTGTCTGTCGAATTGAAGCAACCTCACAAAATCGAAAGGTCCTGGTTCACATGTCTTCGAAAAGCTATACAGAAGAGCTTCTCGATGATGTCCACGTAGCGCCGAGCACCTAACTTATACGTCTTTCTCCGCTTTCGATATACCCCACTCTCGCGCACACCGCAATTCGATAATTTTGCCTCAACCTCCAAACTATCCTCTCAACCACTCTGGACCTCAAGTTCAACTTTTTCTCTCCCAATTTTTTGCCTACATCACCTTTTACGGCCGCAAAAATCTCCATCAATTGGCTTGGTGGTGTAGTTGGTTATCACGTCAGTCTAACATGAACACTCGTTAGTTACACTGAAGGTCTCGAGTTCAAGTCTCGGCCGAGTCAAAAGATATCACAGGCTTGGTGGTGTAGTTGGTTATCACGTCAGTCTAACACTTGTTAGTTTCACTGAAGGTCTCGAGTTCAAGTCTCGGCCGAGTCACGATGTCTACTTTTTAGCTCTTGAGTGGTGTTGGTGATGCTTTTTTGCTGGATTGGTGGCGGGGATGACAACGTGGAGTTGGCCGATTCGGGATATCGACTGGACAGACCACGATTGATCTTGCAGTAGCATGAACCTAATGATTTCCTACACATAACACCAATTGGCAATGGACATGACCGAATATGCGGACCTCCTTCCTTTCCCCGACTCGACTCAATCTACCTACCCCCAGCTCATCAATACTACTTCCAACATCCTCCTCTTCCACTTTCCTCACCCCTCTCCCTCTCTTCCCCCTCTCCCATCTCCCCTCCCCTAAGGCATAAACCCCCACACCCCAAAAAACAACACGACAATCGCACTAACAATCACCACGACCTCCACACCCGCTTTAATCCCCATAACCGGCACTCCATCAAACTGCAAAACAGTCCCATTCGTCAAATTCCGTGCCGCCTCGACAATCGCAACCTGCGACAGATTCCCACATCGAGCGTTCAATTGTACGTCCATCATGAGTGGAGGCAGAGCGGCAATGGCGGCGCTGAACATCTGGTTGTCGTACATGGACCCGGTTTTGGAGAGGTGGTAGAAGGGGGATCGGTAGGAGGAGTTGGAGCCGACGGTGCTGAGGTTGGCGATGCGGGAGTAGTCGAGGCAGGAGAGGAGGGGGGTTTGCGCGGTTGTCGGCGTGTTTTGGCGGGGGGTGAGGTGCGGAGTTAGGATGGGGCCTGGGGCGTAGTGCGGCGAGGAGAGGGTGAGGGTGACGAGGGCGAGGAGGGGGATGAGGAGGGTCTTGAGGGTCGGCATGGCGTTGATGCGTTTGGTGAGGTGTGTGGTTGTGTGGTTGAGGTATCGTATAGCGGATGGATATAGATGTCGGAATAGTCGATAGAATGGCCGACGAAAGAAAAGTTGTTGGTATCGCTCGAAATGGCCGACGAAAGAATGTAAGTCCTCAAGACCAAACAAGTGAGCCAGCCCACCACGAAAGCAAAAACAAGACGTTCGTAAAACTCGACGTAGGAAACAGAAAGAACGAAGGAAAGAAAATCGTACGATGAGGGAACCCAGAAATCCCACTTTCGTAGGTCCAGCTATGCGCAGTATAAGAGAGGGTCGCGGACCGGAAGCCTGTAACGTCAGATGAGACAGGGGTTGTTGCGTCAAACTGGTAGGTGAAGCACTGCGCGCCACAACTTTGTGCGCCGCTGAGCCATACCGTGTCTCATGTGCGCTCCAGTACCACGTGTTAATACGTTGTCGCCGTGCGGCAGCGGGCTTAGTATGTTGTCATAGGTCATAGGGATGAACGACCGTACAAAATGGTGTGCACTGTCTGAGTGTGGTGAGCATAACATGAGGTTTTGACAGGTGGCGACGGCGCTTGTGTGAGCAAGCTGGCAAGATAGCTTCGCCTCGACGCAAAGACAGTATCGTGAAATCGTGTGCTGGTACACATGCTGGGGTGATCCGCAGTCGGGAAATTGTATGAGGATGCTGAAGCAGCGGAAGTCGCGATGCCGTCCTTCACCAAGACATTTAGCGAGATGTCTTGAATCAAACCTAGTCATCACCCAGCGTAACACCGTTCTGCTGAGCGTAATGAAAAGACTAAGGTCGTGCCAAAACCGCGGGGTATATTTTCTTGCTATCCCTTATCTCAACCCAACATCTTCCGTCTATAATATCGCCGAAAACGCCACCGGAGAACTGCATTATGCGTCAACAGCCATAACCATCGTATCGTCGCCATCAAGTCCGACAGTCGGGGGTTCCACAACGACGCCACGTCCTCTGCCCTGAAGCAGTTCCCTGCGGATCTCAGGTGTGATGTCTTTGTGGTTCCTGGTCAGGAGCAGATCGAGCAGCGCTTCTCTCTGGTCTTCAGTGATGTCGTTGCGATATCGCTGCGCAAATGACAGCAGACATTGGTGCCAGATGACCGGCAGCCTGCCCACGCCTCCAAGGTCACCCGCGACTGACTCGGTATCCATAGCGTCGTCATTGCTCGCACCCACGGCGCGGAAGCGGAGGAAGTGGAAGACGAGAGCGTCGACGACCTTGTACGGAAGCGCGTACTTCTTATCCAGCAGCGTCTTGATGAAGATATTGACCGGTCCAGCACGCTCGGGATCTGAGCTCATCTGTTCGGCGGCTAATTCGCACAGGCGGTTGATGGCGGCGGCGGAGTGTAGCACTGGGACGCTGACATCGCGGACCACGCTTGCGACGATGGTGGCTTCTTTTTGTGTGCAGGCGCCGTCAACGAGCAGGGGAAAGACGATGCCTTTAAAGAAGGCGGCAGGCTTGTAAAGGCTGCGACCTGTTAGAGATGTCTTAATGTAGCATTGGCACACTTACGCTTTCTTCAAGGCATTGTAGAGATGGACATTGAGCTTCCGCGTGTCCTTCTTCGCCTCCAAAATGTCCTGCTGCACGGCAGGCAACAGAATCGCGTTCAGGAACTCCTGTGCGGTTGCAGCGTTCGCCGAAATGAAAATCCTCGTCGCCGCATACACTGCGTTCGGTGTCCACTGGTCCGGTCGCGTCACGCCAATCAACGTCCCCCACGCCGGTATCGTAGGCAGCACCTTGAAGGGCTTTGGGAGCTTCCCCGACTTGTATCTCGACATAATGAGGCCGACCTTTGAGTACACCTCGACCACCTTGGCGGGTAGTTCCATGGCGTCGTCAGGATGTCCCATATCCTCTGCTTGTGACGGGTTTTCGGCTTCATGGGCTGCGATCTTCTCGAGAATCAATGCGGCGAGGTCGGTGCCAGGTCCCGAGGGCTGTGTCTCCTGTCCCGGCCACACGATGGGGTTGTCGTCTGTGGGGTTGAACTTGTTGAAGGTTGCGAGGTCGTTCGGATCAATCTCAATCTCCTCCACCTCTTCCTGCTCGTCGCCCCAGCCCTCGTCATCGTACTGTGCGGTCGGCTCCTCGTCATTTGCGTCCTCTCCCAGGCGCGAGTCGAAGTCGAAAGCGGGGTTCGCCACAGGAGGGCGTCGTGCCTGGTTTTGTTGCTCCTCCTCTTCGGCTAGTTCTCTACCAATCTCAAGAATCTTCCGCGATGCCTTTGAGTCCACATAGTTCTCCTCGTCGCCCTCCTCTCGTGTCCGCTTCTGGCGTTTTGGGGCCTTTTGCTTGAACGGATGTGAAGGCACATATTCTTCGGCAAGGGGATTGTGTCGCTGCGCCTCGCGCGCATTAGCTGGCCTCGGAGTCTTCGGCATGACTGTGCTGCTGAACGAGAGCTGAGGTGTAGATGGTTCTGAGGAGGGCGATGGCGGGGATGTCAAAAATTAAGGTGGAGAGGTTTACAGACGGCAGTTTTACGCGAGGGCTGCCTCTAGCGCCAACCTTAACGCGGTCTGAGCTTCCAGAGCTGTGATTGTTGTTTGGGCTCGTCACTTTCCACTCAACAACCACCACAACACTCCTACCATGGCCGATTCACAGCCTCACTCGCGCCCTGATACGCCCGTGGCAGAGCTTCCGTTGAAGCGGAAGCTTGAAGAACAGGATCATGCACCTGCCGTCTCTTCGCCGCTCAATCCAAACCCCGATGCGGGAGCTCGCACCCGTCCCAGAGCTCCTCCGCGAGAACAGAGAGAGAAGCGCGAGACGTTGAAGAAGAGGGAAGCCGCCCAGTCGCATAATCGTGGAAGCACGCCCAACTCAAAGCACAAGAATGAGGTGGTGGAGGCAGATCATCCAATGCGCTACTCCATACCGGAACCCAAGCCGTCAGACTACGATCCGCCCAAGGACGGCATCTTCGCATCGCACGAGCCGAACCCGCTGTTTACGCCTGATGGATCCAAGGAGTTGAAGAAGCCTGTCGACCATGCTTGGAATAAGAAAGGCTTCCGCTATACGCATTGCGTGGCCGATCCTTACTTCCGCCATAAGCAGTTCTTCCGACAAAGCGAGGTCAGGCCATATGGACCCAGGATGAGCTTCGAAGACACCGACAAGTGGTTCTACCTCGACGATACTGCCACCATAGTGAGCAACGACAAAGGCTGGCGCATGGGGAGGGGCAACGTGGTTGCTAGGGAGGGCAGGATGTACTACGAGGTCAAGATACTGAAGGGGATACCGCGGGAAGGGCCCAAGGACATTGTGGACCCACGTACAGGCGATGTACTGCCCGGGCCGCATATACGCATGGGCTGGGCGAGGAGAGAGGCTCCTTTGGATGCCCCAGTGGGGTTTGATGGCTACAGCTACGGCATCACAGATGTCCGCTTCGAAGCCATGCATCGGTCACGGCCTTCGAAGCTGTTTCGCCCTATGCCAAAGGGCAAAGGCAAGCACATGAAGCCGCGACCACCTCATGGCAGGCCTATGCCTGTGGAGTACGTGACCGATCAGCAGCTCTGCGAGGGAGATGTGATCGGGCTGGAGATTCAACTCCCGTCACTCTCGCTGCACCGCAAGGTTGTGGATGGCATCTACAACCCGGCAGTCGATCTGACTGACGGATTTGATGCACCAACCAAGCGCGATCAGTTCGACCAAGACAAGCCTGTTGACATCATCCGCGATCGCATCCCTGTGCCGTACAAAGGCAACTTCTACTTTGAGCAACAGGACTTCACAGTCACCAAAGCCGTCGATGGTTATCAAGATCGCGGCTCTCTCGACGACAGGGAGAAAGCGAAGCACCAACCGTCTCCAAACCATGACGAAGTCAGTCTGCGCTCCCTTCCCTTTTCCCACATCAAGGTCTACAAGAACGGTCAAGAGATTGGGATTGCTTTCGAGAGCATACTGGCTTTCCTTCCGCCAGCAAGTCAACCATCTGCAGAGGCAATCAAGACCGGAGCCAGGGTTGGTTACGACGACGGCATGGTGGGCTACTTCCCTGCTGTAGCATCGTTCAACGGAG